CAAACCCTCTTCAGCCACACCCTCCCCGACGCCCTACCCAGACCTCCCACTCCAACCCTCTCCTTTTTCATCCCACGCATCTTGCTATCTGCCTCTCCTACGACTCTCCGCACCCCGACCCAGTCTTCCTACCTCGGCTCCCCACACCCCTACTCCTTGCCCAAACCACCTCACCCCAGCGCCAGTTTTCCCCCTCCCCACACCGTACAGCTCTCTACCTGATCTCCCCCCCCCCTACCCAGACCTCCCACTCCAACCCTCTCCTGTTTCATCCCACGCATCTTGCTATCTGCCTCTCCCACGACTCTCCGCACCCCGACCCGGTCTTCCTACCTCGGCTCCCCACACCCCTACTCCTTGCACAAACCACCTCACCTGTTACACATTGTGTCACACGGGCCTGGGTAGGCCCGACAGATTGGGGTTCAGTGGCCGGTCCAGGCCCAAGGCCGGACCTTTACCACGGCGGAGCCATTCTAGGCCGTCGGTTGGCCCTTTTAGGCCACTTACGGACCAGACCCGACGGGCAGGCCCAAACGACATTACCGTTTGGGCCTGGCGGTGCTCTTGAGGCTGCCGCCCGCCGGTCTGATCTGAACCGTCGATCTGGACGATTCAGATCACGGCCAGGCCTCGCAGCATTGAGGCCGGCCTCTGTTCCACCGGTACTTAATACCGGTCCAGCCTCATTGTGGGGTATCGAGCAACTGGACGCTGCGGTAGCGCCAGTTCGTTTCGGTTCAGCAGCAGGAGCGTTAGCGCCAGCGCTATTCTTAGCGCAGCATGGAGGAGCAGCAGCAGCGAGCGAGGAGCCAGGCAGCAACCATCAGCAGTGTGGCGGCCATAGCCACCTTCGACCTGCAGTCGGATTGCAGCGTAGCCAGGTACTAGGAGGCGAGGGAGTTTCTCCTCCCTCCATGGCCCCGGCTCTCTCCTCCTCACCTCCTCCTCCTCTGCCATCTTCTTCTTCAGACTTCTTCTTCTCCTTCTTCTTCAGACTTCCTCTTCTTCTTCTTCTTCAGACTTCTTCTTCTTCTTCAGACTGGAGACTTGATACTAGTTGGACAGAGATCAGTGTTGGACTTCGGTGGTAAGAGGCTGTGGTACTTACCGGATTCGAGACTTGGAGATTGTTGGGGTTGMTACTCGGCGGCATCACAGATYGGACAYCGTTTACATTAGGACTCTGTACCTCCGASATTGRTGACTTATTGTCCACRACATTTTGATCTTGTTCGATGACATTTTGGACTACCATATCGGTGACCTACTGGATTCTATCTCGGTGACATCTGGTGCTGCCTACATCTCCCACCTCCTTCGTCTCTCCTCCCACCTTTCATCTGTGTATGATTGTACGGGGCCTGAGCATCGTCTATGATTGGCCCAGACCCCAC